ATAAGTCTGTTGATAATAAGTAACATTTCTCTTGAGAAATATAATTAATTCCCACCAAAGCTTTCAATTCAATTGCGGCATGTTGCAGTGTGCTTCATGTGGATGCCTTAAAATCAAAAATGATTGAGACCTCAAATTTAGAATTTTCATGACCTTTAAAATAATCTAAATCATTCATATATTTATTTTTATTTTTTTTTAATTTCTCTCCGACGAGTGATTTAAATCATTTTAAGATCATAAAAATCTCTAAAATTGAGGTGTCAATCATTATTGCCTTAAAATAGAGAGAAGCCATAAAAGTCTAAGCCTCCATTTGGGAAGTGGGTTGGTTTTTTGGCTTTTTGAATTTTTTGGCTATTTGAGCCTGGGTTCAAAAGTTTGGTTTAGGAAGGGCTTTTTGGCTTTTTAACTTTTTGGCTTTTTTGGCTATTTTAGTCTGGGCTCAAAAGCTTGGTTTAGGAAGGATTTTTTGGCTTTTTAGCTTTTTGACTTTTTTTGTGAGAGCGGAGTGTAATGATTATGGGTTTGATGTGATGTTTTGTCTGTTGTGGCTCAAATAACCTATTCTGTCTTTTGTAACTCAAAGAGCCAAAAGAGCACAAATGAACTCTTCCCAAACAACACCTTAAGTAAATAAAAAGAGCCCAAAGGAACTCTTCCCAAATTAGCTCTTCTCTCTATTTTAAGTCTATCTCCTACATGCAAGTCCATGGTCTCCATTAATGCTTAAACAATAAAGTCCACAAAACAGTCACAAAGTAATGAATAAAATATTAAAGAAATGATTTGTGAATATAAAATTTATAAAATAATATACACTGTTGTGAATTGCTTTTGTGAAATTAGGGCCTTGTTTGTTTTATGTAAGCTTTAAGGATCTTCGAGTTTATCTTGCTTTTATGAATGTGAGGTAAATCTGCCCACCAAAAAATAAAAAATAAAAAATTGTAGGAATAATAAAGTATTACATTCAACAATCTTTATCAATAAATTGACAATGGCAGTATATATGTGACAAGCCTGGAAAAGTAACAGAGTTACAGCCAAGTGACATGGACATATGCTTGCTTATATGATAGCACACAAGTTCATACACATTCATTAATATATAACGCCCAGGACACATAGCACACAGCCTCATAAATGAACCAACTTTTAATCAATTCTCTTTTTTTTTTTTTTTCATGACAATAAGACTACAGACACATAATTAATCATTTAAATTATTTGACTTAAATTTTATATGATTAATTCTGTGTCGATAGACTTATTGTGTTGCTTAAACCTACCAAATATTACGGCTATGGAGATAGCCAATATATTGGTCCCCTCAACAATAGGTTGCTTGACAGTAACAGAACAAAGGATGGTGTAGTTGGTGCACATGACTTCTTCAATCTCAGCTAGAAGATCAGTCATGGGGACCAAATTAATTCTCATATATATGTATACATGCTTTGTCTTGTTCAATTCACACATGGTTGTCGAGAAGTATTTTGTCATGTGGTGCAGGGCCATTGGAAATTGAACTCGGAACATGTTTTGTTTGGCTATCCATTTCGAATTGATATATAAGTTTACTTTCACTTTCTAAATTCAATAATGTATATAAAAGATGATTGACAGATGATTAGAAAAAGATATAAAAGAGATAATTGTCTTAGATATTCTGATTGATTACTACATTATTATATTAGAAAAGTTGATCTACCTTTTAAGCTATAATAGCTATGCCCAATGTATAGATATGGATCAGGATTCTATTCAATAATCCTTGCAATGGTAGTTTAACAAATTTTTAAGGGTGGCTTGAAGATGGTTTATCATTAGTTGGATAGTCATATCATTGTAAGAGAATCATATAATTGTATTACAAGGATTATTATGGAGAGATTATTGCAGAGAATTCCAATCCCATTCATGTATTGTATATGTTTCAGAGGTTTAAAGTAGAATATAATGGATTTATTTGATGCAATTTCTAATAAGCTGAAAATTGATAATTAAAAAGTAAAAACTAAAAGCATTTTTTTACTTGATAAATTGTGAGCAAAGGTGCATTAACACAAAATTTTCAAAACTTAAAAAATAAATAAATAATTAAAATTTTAAAATAAATATAAGGGTTAAAAAAATGATAGGAGAGCACAATCAATGCATGTCACCCCTCTCTAAAATGTTTTTCCATTCTCCACATGGGCCATAATATTTAGGCCCAAACAAAAAGTCCACAGTAGTCATTATCATGGAAACCCAAGGTGGCCCATGAACAACATATAGCCCTGCTCTGATGATGAGGAATTGTGGACTAATACAAATCACAAAATGATCTATGTCATCTTCTTTTTAAATAAATTGTTCAAATCGATAATCCCTAGTTGGATTCACAACATCTATCTGACACGTGGTTGGGCCTTAACCCATTTGAGGTAGAGGGTTTTGGATCAAACAAAGAAAAGTTTGTGGGTTCAACCATCCTTTAGCTCAGTTGTTTCATTCAGAAGTGGGTTAATTATTAGATTATTTAAAATGTCGGTTATGACTCGCAAAAAATAATTTAAATTTTTATTATTATTGAAACTTTTTATTTTTTTTAAATTTTATTAAATAAAATTTTATTTTAATTTTTAATTTGAAATTTCTAAAAACTTGAGCGGCTAATTCAAAGCTTATCACCTCCAACTCATCTAGAAATATTCCTTCTTGTGGAATGATGTTAGAAGGGATGTGTCATCACAAGTTATATGTAGTCAGTGGGACTGTTTGGTGTTAATTTTCTAAGTTAAAAGGATAATCATAAATCAGAAATTATAAACACCTCTTAGTCAATTTTAAAATTTTTTGTAAATCATTTTAAACTCAAATTATATGTAAAAATTATATGAAACACGCTTCATATACTTCTGAAATAAATAAATAATAATAATAAAAGTTAAAAGCAACTCTTATAAGGGGCAACCAATTGGATCATTATAAATTATTATTTGTGAATATAGAATGGTTCCATCATTTAGGGGTGTTTATTTTTCTGACTATAAATTGAGATGAGTTCTTCATTCTCACATTTTGATTAAAATGAGAAAAAAAATATAAAAATATATTATTGAAATTGTTACTTTATATTGGTCCTAAAAAATTAACTTCTTCATATCTTGTGTTTTGAATTTGTTATTTTATTTTATTGCAATAATTTGATAACATATGCCTCAATTGCATGCATGTGTAAAGAGACAATTATATCCTACTACTAAAAGTCAAAAATGGAATTATAGCCACGTATCTGAAGCGGACCGGCTGACAAAACATTAAATTGTTGGAAAATATTTGAGGGTCACAAATTCTGTAGTTTAAATAGTTTGAAACTGTTAAAATGACGTTGTTTTGTGTTGTTTTACATCTAAAATGGCGTCGTTTTGAATGTTTCGGGTCATTCGAACCACAGAATTTGTGTCCACATAGCATTGCCGTAAATTGTTATACTTTTCTCAATTAGAAAAAATTATGCAATTATTTTGAACGAGTGTCTTTAAGATCATCTCCAACGGTTCATTAAACTTGACATTAAATTTAAATTTTGATAAAAAAGTTACTGTTTGATGTTCCAACGGTTGCACCAAATCGGTATCAAATTGAGAATTCACCAAAAAATTCATCAAAGTGAGAACAGCGTACAGATTTCATCAAATTACTGTGCGCGACCGTTCGAGGAGAGGAACCGGTCAACTAGCCGGTTGCCCGGCCGGTTGACCAACCGGTCGACCACGAAAAAGTTCAAACAGTTCAAATTTATAGGTTCAAAAAAAAAAAATTTGCCTTACCAGTCGACCACTAAAAGGTTCAAACAATTCAACTTTATTGGTTCAAACAATTTAAAAAAAAAAAAAAAAATTCCTCTTACCGGTCGACCAACCGGTTGTCCCGAAGCAGATTTGATAAAAAGTGAACCGTTGGAGCCGTCTGTATCAAATTGAGAAAATAGTGATTTTTTTACTCAAATTTGGTAAAAAATTTGGTGAACCGTTGGAGATGCTCTAAGGAAGGCAAAATTTATAGAGCGAGTGGCCTACAGGTTTTTGAGTGAAACATGTTACTTTTTCTTGAGAAGAAAAATTAGCAGAGTAATTAAGGTTGTGTTTAGTAGAATTTTAGAATTATGATTTGAAAATAGAGTTGTATTTTAGATTTATGAGTTTTGAAATTATGATTTGAGTGTGAAAAATTTGTTTGATTATGAATTTTGAAAAGAATTTGAATTGAGTGATGTGACATATGATATTGAAAAGTAGATGTTTTAAAAAATAGGTGTGGAATTAATTTTCTAAAGATGTAACCAAACAACACACTCAAACTAAATGGTAGAATTAAACTTTAAAAACTTTACCAAACAATACTCTCCTTCATCTATCCTCAAAATTTTTTTGGTCATATATTAGGGTTGAGTATAGAATTATTTGATTTATAAAAATTACTTAATCCGAACAGCTTGCACTTATTTGGGCGATTTTGAAGAATCGCTAGAATTGGCAATGGTTTAGGAAGATCGCAATTTTGATCCGCACTCGCACTCACCCACCCAAATCTTTATACATTTTTTAAAAAAAAAATTGGACTATCAATTTTCTTGTAAGGTTTTAAATTTGGCTGAAATTTGGCAATAATTTATTTTGGTTCTCAACTAATTATTATTATTACATTTTAATTTTTAGATGAATGTAAAAGTTAATGAATAATTACTTTATGTAAGTTTAGGATTTTAATTGATTTTATTTTAATTGTGTTGTTAAGTACTAGATAATGAATGAATTTTTAAAGAAAAAAGTCTAATATGTAAACTGTCCACACATCCGTAAATTTTATTTGCACAAATCATAATTCAGACTGCGAGTTCAATTTTTTCTAAACCGCAAACATACAAACAAATCCAAACCGAAAATCAAACCACCAAAAAATCAATCCGCGAGCCTATCAAATACACATGTTGGTAATAGAGTGGATCAGAGTCGGAACAGGACACGCCATACAGCTTTTCACATTTGTACAACTAAACAAGCTTCAATTACTTAGAATACAATACATCACAAGTTTTTTTTTTCTTTTTCTTTTCCCTTTTCTGGGATTGAAAAGAAACAAATGAATCAATCAATATTTGAAAACAAAATACAGTAATTAATTACAAATAATAAAAAAAAAAAAAACAGAACTAACCTATAACATTTTCAAATTTTTGGAACTGTATTTTTATTTTTATTTTTTTACAATACTATCCCTGTTGAATTGATCATATTTGCAGTTGAGTACATAGCAGCCCCATTCAACCCAGCTGCCCATCTCCGAAGAATCCTCAACAACGACGCCGCCTTCCTCCTCCCTCTCTCCGTCCCCGTTCCCATCATTTCCCACACCACTCTCTCAATTCCTGACACCGCCGCCAACTCCGCCACCGTCTCCGACCCCGCTTTCCGACACATATTAACCAATGTCGCCGCCGCACTCTCCCGAGCCCTATCCGTACCGTCCCTCAACACCGCCACCAATTTCTCGATCACGCGATTCGCCGCCGCGATCGCCGCCAATCCACCTCTCCTCACCACCACCTCGAGAACCATAACCGCTTCTTCCGGGAATCCATGCATGAGATCACACGTCATCTCCACCACCCCTCCTTCAACTAACTTTCCAACCGCCTCTCTCTCCGCCGCCAAACTCAAAATCGCTAACAATGCATCTCTCTTGGAAGTCCCTTGGCCCACTTTCGCCAATTCCACCAATCCCTTCACGACACGTGTACTCCTCCCGAGCTTTTTCCTGTGACAGTGTACACTTGTCAGGCTGAAAATCGTTGCCGCCGCATTCCCTTTTGCTTCCCACGTCGCACCTGATCTCAACACCTCGATAACACCGTTTAAAACGCCGTCAGTCTCCATTATTCTAACCTTATTTTCTTCGAGGATTGAAAGGTTGAGGATTGTTGTAACGGCATTAACTTGCAGGCTTTGGTCCTCCGAGACTAGGTATTTCGTGAGGAGAGGTAAGGCTCCGGCTTCGGCGATGCAGGCTCGGCTGTCTGACTCTGCTTTGGCTAGGACCCGAAGCTCGTGAACCAAACGGTTTGCTGTTTCGTTTGACTCCGACGCCGTTAACTTGTTTATCAAAAACGACACCGTCATCTTCGTAGCCTCTAACGCGGTCTTATTGTGAGTAACGGCTTTGACTTTCTCGTTTGGTTCCGTAGCTTCGAAGGGGATTCCCTGCTCTCGGCACCACATAGCTATTAAATTCTTCAACGCACGATTTGGAATCAGGTTCGTGTGGACCATAGTCTGACCTGTTTTGGGACACGTGTTGTGTCCAGATTCAATCCAGAGATTGATGGAAGAACGATCATACGTCTGTCCCGTTGCCACGACGACTGGGTCCTGCATAAGTTCGAGAGAGATAGGGCACCGGAAGTCCGCCGGGACATCCACATCCGCCGCTGATCTCCGCCGCCTCACGGTGGTTCTAGGCGTCGACGCTCCATACAACACGCATTTCGCGTAACGAACGAGTCCGATCAATGCGATGATATCAGGCTTCGATTTCTCGTTGGTTTGATTCTGAACTTCGTCTTCGAGACTCTCGAGTTCTTCTCTGAAACTCGATGAATCGCGTAATTGTAATCGATAGAAGATCTCGGTGAGCTTGGAATGATCTGGAACGATCTCTCTCTTGATTCTATCGAGCATTTCGAGCAAGTCGCTCCTGAGATTATCATCAATCGGATCCACAATAGCCTTCTTTTGTGAACACTGTTTTCTGATCAGAACAACAAGTTCTTCCACATCTTCGTTAAAATTCATATCCTTCGCCGGAAAAACATCCATCAGAGTAGACAAATCGACGGTGATCTGGTGGAAACTGTTGGCGATCGATTTGGTTTGAATCAGAAGCCAAGTCTTGCTTCCACTAGAGCAATCTTCGATCAACGTCTTGATTCTCTGCAAAACTATATACAATTCATCAAAACACAGCAAAGCAGTAGGCGAAAAGCAATCGATTTGTGCGCGAAGCAGCTCTTCGAACAAGACCGAAAGCAGCTTCGTTTTGCGGACGATCGAAGCCGAATTTCGCCTGAGGAGATATCGGAGAGGTTTGAGAGACGAAATTTCATGCGAAATCAGAACCAGAGATTGGAGAAGCCGGTGGTCGGATAATTTGAGCGACACGAAAGCTCCGGCCGACGGTCGACACTTTCTCGGCAGAAAACCATGGGGGGAAACCGCCATGAACAAATGAACAAATCAAATCAGAAATTCACAATATAAAATCGATCTAAATATGCGAAATTAGGGTTTGGGTTGAAGATGAAGAGAAAAGTTGATGCAACAAGTTGTTGTTTGGGTTTGCGTGTATATGTAGATATATATATGTGTATGATGATATCAGCTGTTAATTTGCTGGTATTTGACAGGGTTTGGAATGAGATGGCCAGAGTTGAATAAGGTTGATTTGATTCGGCTAGGGGGTTTACTTGGTAAGGTTTGGGTTTGGGTTTGAAGTAGCCGACATGAGAGAGAGAGAGAGAGTTAAGGAAATCGAAATTCATAGCCATGGAAGCTTCCATGTAACAAAACCCAAATTACGAAAGATGATGCGTGAGTCTCAACAGCCGCCATCTTAAGTTTGGTGCCGACTTTAAATATTTGAATAATTTACTTTTATATTTATTAAGCAGAATATTTATTTAAAAAATTAAGATAATTAAATATTTATAGTTATATATTTTAATTATATTTATATTAAAAAATTGATGATTAAAATTATAATTGTTGTTCATTTTTTTAAAACTAATATGATTCAAGTATGTACTTATCAATATCTAATCATTTTAATTTTTTACATTAATATTTTATTCACTAAATTTTAAAAAATAAACGATTTAAGTTATTAAAATTGACCTCAAAATAAACCCACGAGACCGAAACTCTGTCTCAAGTTATATGAACAATTTGAAAGGATCCACTCCCATATCTAATATTATGATTTAGGTTATACTTAGGGATGATTGTGTCACACTAGTTTTTTTATTTTTGGCAAAATAGATTTAAAATTTGATGTATTAGTCAACATATAATCTTCTATTTCAACAACATTCGAGGGCTCGAATTTGGCTCAAATTTTTTTTTGGGGGGGTGCTGTGTTAATTAGTTTTTTTTTTTTTGTGGTTTTTTTTTTAAGGGGATTATGTATTGTGTCAAAAAATTAGACATCTTACACCAACTCATCGTACAAAATTATATAAAATTAACAAAATTTAACCAACAGTTTAATTGATTAATCAATTTTATTACTCAACCAGTCCAACCTAATTGACTGACCAGTTAGGTTGCTAGTTAAAATTTGTTAATTCAATATAATTTTGTACAATGAGTTAGTGTGGAATGTCTAATTTTTTAGCACCCCCTACACATAATCACCTTTAAAAAAAAACCTAAATCAACACAGTCCAACAAATAAAATAAAATAAAAACAACAAACCAACACAGCCCAACAAATAAAAGGAAAAAAAAAACAACTCAGCCTATGTGGTTTGATAAGGTGAGTGAGTTGGATTACTCACCCACCTTATCAAACCATACAGGCTAAGTTTGTACGTGATGTCTAATTTTTTAACATAATTCTACACATAACCACTTTTGCAAAAAGAAAAGAAAATCAAATCACTCAACCAGTCCAACCAAACTTATTCACCTTATCAAATCATACAAGCTGAGTTAATGCGTGATGTCTAGTTTTTTAGCATACTTCTACACATGACCACTTTTGTAAAAAGAAAAGAAAAGAGGGGGGGGAAAGCAAAACTAACACAACCAAAAAAAAAAATCGAGGCAAATTCGAGGCCTCAAGCATTATTGTTTCAAAAAATACCTCATTGTTTTTTTTTTTTGAAACTTCAAACTTTCATCCTAACATTAGTCACCTCTTCCACCTCCTCCCTATACCACAACTTTCTTTTTTCATTTCTCTATCTTTTAAGTAACATGTTTAAGCCATCAAATATGTTCAATGATAATTGTTTGAGAAAAAATTATTTATTTGATGATTGTTATCTAGATAAATAATATTGACCCAGTGGTGGTTGATATTTGAATGGTAACAATTGATTTGGCGCTAGTATTTTGCACAATGAGAGAGAGTGTAGTTAGGATTTGGGAGAAGTTGGCTACATTTGGGGTGTTTGTTTGGACTTTTTTGAGTCAACTTATGGCTTCTGACTTTTGAAAAGTTATTTTGGACTATTTTGTTAAATTTATTTCAAACAACTTCTAATTCAAACAGCTTATTTTAAGTCAAAAAATTGATTCTGAGAAGTTGCTCGCCCCTTGTTTCTGATTATCAATTTCTGCTGTGAACATGTTAATTTATGGTTATACTCTTAGATTTTTTTATTTTTTATTTTTTTAAAAAATAGAAAAAGACCCAAATGGACTATAGAATATTATTATTATTTTTTATGAGAAATGTAAACATGTAGTAAATAACAAAAAATAAAAGTTAATTGAAAAAGTTACTTCACAGCTTATTTAACAAACACTATTCAGGAACTTAAATCTATAATCCAACAGTTACACCAAACAGATTAACAGCTTCTGATTAAAGCTATAATCTATAATCTGTTAAGTTATAATCTATAATATGTTTTAACAGTTACACCAAACGGGACCATTGGGTGAGGAATAGCAATAGAAGGAGAAAATGATGGACAGTTGTCAGTGGCTATCGGTGTAGCTTGCTTTTGGCGGTTTTAAGATATCATTTTAGGATTAATATGTTGTATAAATTGTGTAATTAACTAAAATAAATAGATTCATGACAAATCAAATTAAATTAGAAAATATGTTGGAATTTATAATCATATTGCATAGAAATACACAATACAATAAAATGGTAAAGAAAGCAAATCGAAACTTATGTGATACCACAGTCTCCTTAAAATAGATTAGTCGCGTCACTGTGTGTACTTGAGGTACGTCGGCTTCTGTCTCTCAGTATACGACAGTTTAGACCGACTAACGCAGAAGCATCTACTGTTAGTTTTGGCGAACTGACAATGGCAGTACTTTCTCACACAGGAAGAAAATTATAGGAGCAAACTGACTATATAATCTGGAAGCCAAAAAATTCTATATTGACAACTAAAGAAGTTGGTCTCTATTTATACACCACTTGACAGATTTGCCCTGAAAAGATTAGGTTGGTGGACTGCTAATCCGGCCCAGCCCATTCTAACAAATAGGAATGGCAACAGGCCGGGCCGGGGCCGGGGATCACACTCCCCGTCCCCGATCCCCAATGGTAGGAATTTTCCCGTCCCCGGCCCCATTCCCCAACGGGGAGCCTATTACCACCCCCGCCCCCGTCCCCCAACGGGGATCGGGTTTCCCCGACCCGAAACCAAAAATTCTCCGGCCAAAATTAAAAAAAAAAACAACAACAACAACATATATTCTCAACAAAAAAACAAATCTGAGCAATGAGCATACATATTCATCATCAACAACATCATCACCAAATAAAAAAATAAATATTAAACAACAACATAAAAAATCAAAAATAAAAAATCTAAGCAATATTTCCCAAAAAATTCAACAATAAAACTCTGAAAACATATATATTCAACAGATTTGAGGAGATCGGCGGTGATGGAGAGGAGAGGAGCGACAAAACTCCGACGACAGCGAAGAGCGACAGAAGATCGGCGGTGATGGAGATCGGCGATGATGGAGAGGAGATCGGTGGTGATGGGAGGAGAGAGATCGACCGAAGACAGCAGAGGAGGGTGATCGGCCGAAGATAATGAAGGAGGAGGGAGATCGGCCAGAGGAGAAGGGAGATCAGACGAAGCCATGAGTAGCAGCAGCTGCGCGTGGAGAGAGAGAGAGAGAGAGGTTGAGAGAATATGAATGTTTGTGAGTAAGAGAGCAGACTCAAACATATATATCTATGAGGAATATTCAGGGCAATCTTCGGGGATAATTCGGGCCGAGGTCGGGCCGGGGCCGGGGTCGAGAAACTTATCCCTGTCCCCGGTGCGAAAATTGTCGGGGATTTAATTTTCAATACCATCTCGTGCCCTATAGGAATAATTTTTGGGAAAAACCCGTTCAAATCGGGGTCGGAGGATCGGGTCCCCGTCGGGCCTAGTTCAAATTGCCATCCCTATTAACAAGCCTCAAGCCCCAACATCCACAGATTGGGTGCACCATAAACCCAAGATTCACAAATCATGGACTTGGACTCAGTTCGGGCGAGCGATCGGCGCGCACGTGACAATTTTTGCATAACCAACTTGGACTATAGTTTTGGCCCAAGCTCATCCTTGAAACATCTATAACTCTCTTCCTTCGGAAAATTTGAATGCTCCAAAGGGCTCATGCCCTTATCAAAATCTTAAGGTTTAAATACCCATTAAAGTTTTCCTCTACAATCAATCTGGGATTAGTAATTATACACAATTTCTAATACCTCATTCATGAGACCAACTTTATGAGTCAATTTCTCATTCAATTCTTAATTGTTTTTTGTCATTCTTTTTGTGGTATAAAGACATTTTTACAAATAATCTAAACTCGTTTAATCTCACCTCAACCAATAGTTAGGACCTACTTTAATTTCTAATTAAAGTCACCGTAAAATTATTTTCAACCGTGCTACGTCACTCGAAACTGAGCCACCCCTAATCCCTTGAACCAAAAACGACGTCGTTTCATCGTTTTTGAATTTTTTTTTTTTTTTTTTTTTGCAGAAGAAGAATGAAGCTCGGAGAAGAAGAAGGAAGAAAGGAGTGAGGGAGGGAGGAGGAGGAGGGACTGGAGGGGGCATAATATTCGGGGGAGGAGGAGGCGGAGGTGGGGCGACGGCGGGGAGGAGGAGCTGCTGCTGCTGCTGCGACGAGAGGCAGAGGCGGGGCGACGGCGGGGAGGAGGAGCTGGCGGTGAGGCGACGACGGCGGGCGGCGAGACGATCGGAGCTCTCCTCTCCTCTCTCTTTCTCCCTCTCTCCTCCTCTCATCTTTCTCTCTCCTCTTTCTCTCCCTCTCCTCTTCCTCTCTGTAGACTGAAAATCGAAGGAAAAAAAGAAAAGAAAAAATAAAATAAAAAAAACCTAATGCCCAAAACGACGTCATTTTGGGCATTAGGGGGATTAGGAGGCAGGAATTTTCGAGCTCTCAAACATTATTCAATTATTTTTTCTAACAAAAAAGATGTGAATATTTTAATAATTTTATTTTGAAATACAATTATAGTTAATTTTCTTTTCACTAAATGAATAGGGGGGAAAATATGATGTGTGAGTGAATAGAAAACTTTTCTCACAAAAAAAATGCATAGAGCAGTTCTACACTACACCTGATGTATTGTTGGAGTAGATAACTTCAAGAACTATAATCCCTTGCACAGTTATAATCTTTTATAATTTTTTTATTTTTTATTTTTTTGTAAAAAATTATTAGGTGGTACTCAGGTGGTATTATTTATGTATTTTTTTTTTTAACAAATAAATGAAATATACAAAACACATTGTTTAATTATTTATGGCTTGATAACTTCACTGTAATTATACCAAACTTGCGAGGGCTTATTTTATTT